TTGCTGAAATTTCATCGTCAGCGTTGCTGGTTCCAAGTTTTCGTAAATATGAGACGTCATTACACTGATGATGGTCGCCATCGTATTTATTAAATCATACGTGCTATCCATCAGTCTAGAGCTCTCTAAAGGTTATTTTGATGGAACAACCAAAATTATTCGATGTTTTACAGAGTTTCAGAGTAAAGCTACTAGGGGACCCAAATACCTGCTACCTTTCTCTTTGTCTCCCACCTTTTACTTTATAATGCGACGTCAGGATGCAAATAGAAAGAGCTAAAACCAAATGCGAGGAACATGTGTGTGGCAGAAAACTTATCTGAGGATGAGGAAGTTGAGGGAAAGAAGTTCATGTGAATTGAATCGACTGTGATCTAACCAAGTAGTCAAAAACTCCAGAACATGAGCGAAATGGAAGGAGAATGGAGCCCGACACAGCATATAGACGGAGGAGGGTATCATTCAATTGATTTGTGCCAAAACAATTATGAAATGTTTGACTGAAATGACAAATTGACGTTGATCGCATCCGAGAATAAGCATGTGTGAATTGCATCTCATATCTTCCTGCAATTATAGGTTACGATGATCGCATCCGAGAATAACCGCAAGAAATATCCATACTGAGGTTTCTCTGGCATATGTATTAGAGAAAATCGTATCATCTAGTTGTATTACTCCTATCATCGGCTATTTGTAAGCAACTTTGTCGCCACCTAGCCTTCATTAAACTTGAAAAACTTGAAAATTTATTTTCATTCCATCAAGTAAACAGCCGGTAATGATTTTTCTGTGAGTAGGTTAATAGGTGTTTAGCAAACGCATGCGACACATGCTGGAGCACGTCTTTTAATGAATAAAAATAAAATACTTATTCTAGAATATAGAAAATTAAGCCGTCAATTTTGAAGAGCACCATGATCTTTGACTCTTCTTACATTGGCTTATCGTATGTGGTTGAACAAGATAGTATGTAATCGAATACCATATTTAAAATTTCTGTTTTTGGAATTTTTCATATTTTGTACTTGTGATAATTGTCACGTCAATGTTTCACATCTACACCGTGACAATTTATTTCAAGAAAAAAGGATTTAGCAATGCCATTGGCTCATTATATTATCTTCAGTAAAACCAACGTACATTACTAAATTTCTCCTCGTATATTTATTATCCAAAGATATTTTATTTTTCTAATTACGTATTTTTTTAAGATTTCACTTTTAAAATATCCTAATTAAAAATGCAAACTTGTATCGGTCACGTCATTGCTAGCAACTTTATGTAAGGCATATGTAACTCTATAGATCAGCAAATTAACTAAACATATTCTTACCTGAAATCAATTTTAACTGGTGGATCACTACAAATAAAGTAATTTTGAGCCTAAGGAAATCAATTTTTAGAAAGAGATGATGAACACTCATATTATTAATCACCTGATTTTGAGGGAAGATCATAATTGAAGGTGGCTTTTGAATCATAATTTTAAAAAATGATTATATTTTTCAGCTTAATCCTATCGAAAACATACCACATAAGGTGAAAATAAGGCAATGAACGATGTTTACTAACGAACGATGTTTACTTTATGTTGTTGATTACATAGTGGGTAAATTACCATGTTAAATCTTCCTCCAAGAAGGATTATCTATTGCTACTTGCGATAGCCCACAAGCGGTTTCACTGATGGTATTTATTATTCATGATTTTAGAAACTCAAAGTGGTGGCTAACAAGGAAATGGTCAAATGGGTAAAGATACTAGAAATCAGAATGATGATTGCGGATTCGCCTATATGAGGGATTTTAATGTTGAAGTCACGCAAAAATGTTTTGAATGCCAGATATGAAGAAAGAGTTACAAAGCCAAATGACAATGCCAAACCATCGTCATGCATCGTACGGTCTTCCTAGGAGATTTTATCATCACGATAGCGATCACCAGGATCACTATGAAATCATGTCATGACTACACGTAGAAAATCGTCGTCATGATCGAAATGGGATCGAGATGTATGGGTTTGGGACCATGAAGATCCGCGTAAAATGGGGGGGTTTCTCTTTGGCTTTACGTGGTTGAAATCTCGCTTTCGTTTCAGCTTGGCGCGAGGCGTCTCTTCTCTTCTCCATCTGAGAGAAGGTGAGCTGTGTTTGTTCCCCGTCCCTCGTGATGAGTGAGCGCTGAGCCAACCCGTCTCATGTCACAATGTCTCTCTCTTTCTCTAAAATAAAGAGCAATGTTCTTTGACTACATTTTCTCTAGAAAAGGTTTGTGTGTGTGTGTGTGTGTGTGTCTCTCTCTCTCTCTCTCTCTCTCTCTCTCTCCCCTCCCCATTTCTCGCTGGAACGAAATGTTTGGTTTCTCAACGTTGCGTCTAAAGTTGAAACGTTTTTTCTCTCACTAATGCCCTCTCGTTCTGAACATCAGGAATGGAATGCAATGGGCACCTACCCCTGTTCTCAAATCAACGGTAGCTCTCTCTCACGGACTGTACCTTTCCCCTCACGTATTTATTATTTTATTGTTGTCCGTGATTAAACGGTGCAATAACCATTAGCATGATAGCGAGAGAGAGAGAGAGATGCCCGATTTGTTCTGCGACGTCCTTTTCAATTGGGTAGTTAGTTCCTCAAAGTCCTCTCCTCTCGCTTGAGAGAGAGAGAGAGAGAGGGAGAGATGCTTACTATATTCGTTTCACTATGGAAACGCGTAAATCTTCTTCAAACAAAATAAATGTTGAACTACATCTGGGGTTCTGTTCTATCTTTCTTCATTACTGAAATACACGTTTCTCTCTCTCTCTCTCTCTCTCTCACGGACATCTCCTTATCTTTCCCTCTCCTCGTCTCTGAAGCTACAGTTCCTCCTTTCCTGCTGTGTTAGAAGGAAACGTCTTAGATATATCACCGCTTACATCTCTCTCTCTCTTCTATCCGCTTATTCATTCATACCTCTTTCTATCTCTAGACCCCACCCCTTGTCGAAATGATTATTTTCAATGGTACCAATCCCCATCATCAGCCATGGTTGCCATCCAAAATAATGCCCTCCGAACCTATACAAACAGAGTGATGCACTCGTATGCGTTCATGTGGCATTTCAAATACTAGACCCCCTGCAACTAAGGGAATGAAAAACACGACCAGATAGTTCTGGGTATGCTGCCTTCAGACCCAAAATTCCCCGCTATTAACCTTCTTTGTATGCATACATTACGTATCTTAGAGAGAGAGAGAGAGAAGAACGACTAGTTCTGGATATGCCTCCTCCAGGACCAAACTCTCCGCAATTAACCTTCTTTGTACGCAGAAGAATACTACCATACCTACCCGTAGCTGTGATACGTGCATACATTACGTATCTTTAAGAGAGAGAGAGAGAGAGAGAGAGAGGAGACAGAGAGGCGGGGAGGGGGGGGGCAATAAAGTTTGGTGTACCGAGGAAGGAGGTTGCCTGCACGGCGGGCAATAGCATGTTTGCCGGGTCATTTTCCCGCGAATTCATGGCCTACGTCTCCTGATGAGGACCGTTTGGCACGCTCCCGCAATGGGGAAAGGCACACAATTGGCGACCGGAAGGGACCGTCCGCCGGCGGGGGTGGCGCCCAATAATGGCCGGACACCCGCCGGAGACCCACCGGAGGTGAGAGGAGGCCGTGAGAAGGCCCAGGACGTACTCTCCCTTTCTCCCCCACATGGGGATGAGAGAGAGAGAGAGAGCGGAAGAGAGAGAGAGAGAGAGTGGGGGACCTGAAGGAACAAGAGAGCAGAGAGGGAGAGAGTTGATGATTCCAAGACTGCCGGCCGGCGCCAGCCCGGCACCCTGCTTCTCGTGCGGTGAGGAGAGGGTAGAGAGAGAAGAGATGAGTGGTGGAGCTTTTCGATTTGGTTAACGTGGGACGGAGAGAAGTGAGAGAAAGTGGGCGGGGGGACGCCGCCCGCCACCGCCATTCTTTTCTCCCTTCCCATCCTACCTTTCCCATCTGTCCCCAACATCATCTCTGTGCTAGAGAGAGAAAGCAAGTGTAGGGAAAGAACCCGTATGCTCCTTTTATATATAGGCATCTAGAGAGAGAGAGAGGAAGAGGGGGCAGTGTGCGTGAGTGAGTGAATGAATGAATGAATGAACGGGGGGGAGTGAAGGAGGCTAGGGTTTGGACCCAATTGGGGGCTCTGATGGGAGACTTTTCTGAACAGAAGCCCCCTCCCTTTCGAGCATCCGAGATCAGACCCTCCATTTTTGGGGAAGGTGGAGGGTGGGTTTTAAATCTGTAGCCCACACTTTTGGCACTCCAGTCTAATCAACGTCTAATGCATGCTTTTCTCTCTCCTGACGCAGTAGAGAGAGAGAGAAGTGCTCTTTTGAAAGATAGTGTATTAATGTATTCGTTCTTCTTTTGCCCATCTCTCTCTCTCCCTCTCTCCTTACTCCAAGCCTCTCTCTTAATTTTTTTTCCCCTTTTTAATAAGTTTCAGGACACCCCCCCCTTCCTCTCTAACCATAGGACAGGACGCACAGGAGCAGCGGGAGAAGTTGGGAGACAGCAAGAACGGAGGGGCCGTGAAGAGCGGAAGGTGGGGAAGAGCTCGGTGGGGGCTGGGAGGCAGTTCTGTCGCTGTTTCTCTGCCTCTATCTCTCTCTCTCTCTCTCTCTCTCTCTCTCTCTAACCTTTTCAAGTTACTAGGTTTTGGGAGGAGGGGGGCGTAGAAGAAGAGGAGGAAAGGCCTTAGTTTTTTTTAATATACGACAACAGCTACCTGATAACTTCGCCGAGGATCTTCTCCCTCCGACGGGACGGCGGCTGTCATGGCGGGGGGCGGCGGCGGCAGGCGGGGGTTCGGCCCCCGGCAGCGCCTGTGCCGGCGGCGGTAATAAGTGGGTCCCTCCGGCCGTACGCATCGGAGAAGAAGATCAGAGCAGAAGAGAGAAGAGAAGAGAAGAGTGAGAGAGAGAAAGGAGGGGAAGGGGAAGAGGGGGGAGCCGCCATGGAGAGAGAGATGTGGGATCTCAACCACGCACCGGATCGAGCGGCGGCGGTGGCAGCAGCGGCGGCGGCGATGGAGGAGGCCGAAAGCGACGGCACCAGCGACGGCGCCGGAGTCCTCTGGGAGGGTGGACGGGCGGCGCCGGTGACCCGCCAGTTCTTCCCCATGGCTGGCGACCGCAGCGAGGAAGGCGGCGGCGGAGACCGGGCCGCCGCCGCCGACGTGGCCCTTCCCCGTGCACATTGGGTGGGGGTAAATTTCTCCCAGAAACCGGCCGCGGCGGGGGCGACGGCGACGGTGGCGGTGGGGTCTCTGGCGGCGGAGGTCTCGCAACCGATCAAGAAGAGCCGACGGGGACCGCGGTCTAGGAGCTCGCAGTACCGCGGGGTCACCTTCTACCGGCGAACAGGCCGGTGGGAATCCCACATATGGTAAGTCCGCCTGCTTCTCTCCTGTTCTCACTCAGTTCTTATCCAGTATCCTTCTGTTCTTCCCCTTTCTTCCTCAATATTAGCAGAGTTTTGATGGGAAGTTCTCAGATTCGATCCTCCTCCCCTTCCCCTCTTTGGTCCAATCCTTGTTCCTCCTCACTTCCTTGCTCCAATTTCGTCAAAAGTCGTCTGGAAGCGCTCGGCTTTGGTCCGATATCTGGAATTTCTTCAGTGTTCCTCAGCTCCACCACCCTAATATGAGCAAAATTTAGAAACTTGCCGTCGGCGTTGGTTTGATCTCGGCGTACCCACCTGTGCTCTGGACCAGAAACTCCCCGAATTCGTCATATTTTACTATGAAGCGAAGGGCTTCTATCTAGCCACTGCAAACCCATCCGAGTTCTTCATCTTCCCCATTTTGCGGGCAATCTCTGGGAAATTTAGCGGGAAGGTCTCAGCTTTGGTCCGATTCCTGCAGACCCACCAGAGCAATTCATTTTCCCCAGCCCCAGCTTCAACATATTTTTCACAGGATCCTGTGCTCTTCAACTCCACCCTCTGTTTTTCTTCGCCTCGCCCTGCCTGATTCGTCGAACATATTTCTATTTCCGCTCCGAAATTTCCTGAAGAATCACTGCAATCACTAGGCTCTTTCTCTTTGATGTAGGGACTGCGGGAAGCAGGTCTACCTAGGTATGAAATTTTCCACTCTCAGATTTAGTTCGATCAGAGATGAGCTTGCCGCGTTTTCCGTCTGTTATTTAGCCGGCGATTGAATCGTGGTCTTGTTCCTCCATGGCTGCCGCAGGTGGATTCGACACCGCCCTCGCCGCCGCCCGGTAACCCTAAGATCCTTGAAATTCCGCTGCTCTCTTGTCGCCAAGAGATTCGAATCGCCCGATGACTGAACCCGACTTGTTCATCTCTCAGGGCATACGACCGAGCCGCCATCAAGTTTCGGGGGGTGGACGCAGATATCAACTTCAACCTGGAGGACTACGACGAGGATTTGAAGCAGGTTGGGAAGAACAGAGGAGACCCTAGCGACCCATTGCCATCCATCCTCATCCTCGATCTTACCGTAGGGGCTTGATTTTGCTATCCATCTCCCGGTGGCAGATGAGGAATCTTACCAAGGAGGAGTTCGTCCACGTGCTCCGCCGCCAGAGCACGGGGTTCCCCCGGGGGAGCTCCAAGTTCCGGGGGGTCACTCTCCACAAATGTGGGAGGTGGGAGGCCCGAATGGGGCACTTTCTGGGGAAGAAGTAAGCTCTATCATCATCATCATCGCCGGCTGTTCATTACTGATTACGGAAAACTCTGTTGGGGCCTTCCGATCTGATCTCTTCTTGGGGTTTTCGATCCTCCATTCGCAGGTACGTCTACTTGGGTCTGTTCGACTCAGAGATAGAAGCTGCCAGGTACTTCCGCCGCTGAATCTCCCTGCGACGGGATTCTCAGTCTACGCTAGGATGATCCGAGCTTCGCTGTCAATTATCTGCAGGGCTTACGACATCGCCGCGATCAAGTGCAACGGGAGGGATGCGGTCACCAACTTCGATCCGAGCATCTACGAGAACGAGCTCAAGGCCGCAGGTGCGTCCTTCGTAGCCCCGCTGATACTTGCAGTTGACTTCCGCTTCAGATTCCGGCATCTAAATTGGCGGCTGCGGGTGGTGTTTCCCAGCCGCCGGCGCCGAGCACAACCTCGACCTGAGTCTGGGGATTTCTGGGTCGAAAAGGAGCAACTTTGATACGATGGAGGAAAGCTCCGCCGGGGCGGTGGATCAACTGGCGGGGGCGCCGCCGCCCTTCGACGGGGACTGGAGGGCTGGGAGTAGAAGCATAAGGGGGAAGGTATGTATGCCCAGGAAGGAACCCCATACTGGATCATGCTTGTTGCGTCTGTTTCAGATGGTGGCGATCTATCTTGCTTCACTATGATAATTTTTGTGTGCTGAAGCTGCCGGAGAATGGCGGTGGCAGCGGCGGTCACTTTGTCCGGAGGGATGTCGGGGGGGAGCCGATGCAGCTGTTCAGCCACTCCTCCAATCAGTTCTTCCAGCTTAGGAATAGAGAGGCTCCGGTTGTTCTCCGCCAGTCCGCTCCACAGCAGTACCTTCCTGGGTACCAGCAGGTCGGTGATCACAGTCTCTTCAAGGCTCTGATTCGGAGATGGATATTTTCTTACTTCTCTCACCTCTCCCTCTCTTTCTCTCGCTCTCTCTTGGTGCACGGAATTGGACAGCTTCTGGAGAGCGCCACCGGTGGAGGGAGGGCCGCCGGAGGAGGGGGGCACCTCCCGGTACACGGCGGCGGGTGGCAGCAACAGCCGCAGGGCCAACAGCCGGAGAGACAGCCGATCTGGGGGAGGAGCGGAAGCAGCTGGTCTCCGGCAGCTGCTGCCGCTACCGTCGCTGCACCCCAGTTCTTCGCCGCCACCGCCGCCGCAGCATCATCAGGATTCTCACCACAGACAATTGGGTGCAGAAGGATGGGCACCACCACCCTCTCATGAAGGCCCATCAAAACCGTCACCATTTGCTGCCCTCTTCCTCTTCTTCTTCCTCCCCTCACGTCTGGTCCTTATTCTTCCTGCCATGGGCGTCTGTAGCGTGGCTTTCCCCATTTCGGCTAGTGCCCATCCCCATGCCCGCCGCCACGAGAGCTCTGTAAGCCTTTATTTGGCGATTGCTGCCATCTAATGGCAGCGTCTACTGCTACGATGCCAACCCTGCAGGGGCCGACTAGCCGATCTCCTCCCCTTGGGAGGAGATCGGGCATTCCAGGGCGGTGTTAACAGGGTAGAAGAGGGAAGGGAAGCTGAAGATTCTTCCCAAAGGAGAAAGCTACTGCCAATTCTAGAGGTTTTCTTGTACTTAGTCTCCCTTCGGTCAACTTTTTTATCCCCATCCTGTCTTTGGAGCATGCCCAATGGTTGGATGAAGTGGAGGGACCTATGTGCAGTGGGTGTGAATTGGGGTTGGGCTACCATTGCTGATGGGGAATGTCGACGAGTGATTTGAGTCATAGGGCAGGATTTGTGGTGTCATGTTATTGGTTGCAACTTTCCACCATAGATTTTAGCTTGGATGATGTCGGGTGACTCACTTTCATGTACATTGCCATCGATTTAGATCTAAGACAGATCCAGAACGAGTGGGTTTGATTTTTCTCTGCCAGAGTATTTGCTATATTTTGTTCAAGTTTAGGGTAGTAACATATGCTTTTCGAAATATCTTAAAATAAGGAAAATAGGGTATTATGATAATGAGCCTCGTAGATTGATCTATGATATTATCTACACAAATCTTTCTCTGCCACCTCCGCAGGGATTCAAATATCGTAGCTCATTATCCACAACTTTTCCCCGTTAAGGATTCAAGTATTCGTGGGATTTTGGTATAGAGAAAGAAAGGCAGCAATATTTTAATAGTTTTTGAGTGGAAATTGATTAGTTGGAACCCTGGAGTCATACTTGATATACTTTGGAATAGTGAAGATCTTAACTAAAGAACATACATACACACAACACAACGTTAGTTCTAAGTTGGTAATCTGCAATTCTGGCATATAGATGATGAATTATTTTGCTCATAACGGGATTAATTTATTTCAAAGTAAAAAATACCAAATTTATCATGGAAGTTCTATAGCACAGGCTAATGTTTTGAGAAACTATTTTCTGCTTTCATTATTCACTTTTAATAATGCCATCAACCTATATTGAAGGGTTTTTTTTTTCAAAATACTAATAATTATCAGCGTGTTGCTAAATGAATGAGCTTGCTTTATGATTAAAACTACAGAAACGTACATGCACATAAAGCATGTTTCATTGTTGTGCTTCAATGTAAAAAGATTTTTAATCAAGAAGGGAGATTTCATGACCATCTCTCAAATTAGTTTGAATGTCAAGATAGAAATCTAACATAAACATGGCACACAATTAAATAGAGTTTGATCTTACTCTTATTAAACTACTTGATGTTTACTTCTAGCTAAGACGGCTTGTTGATACGCTAGAAGCTACACTTGAAAGTATATAGTGGTTTGTTTATTGACACAAAGGGTGGCTGAGTTCTTCAATCTTAATTTCTAAGATACATATATAATATACAGCTAGAGTAGATAATACCCCAATTGCCATTCAAATTCGACTTGGATAAAAATCTTTCATGGCCTTGTAGATAGTTGAGATTTAAATTTAGATACTTCAAATAATTCAGGAGGTAAATCTATCAATAAAAATAAAATGAGTCTATTATCACTCACAATTGGGTGATGTCACAACCAAAAGTAAGAGGCCATTTGGGTCTTAATTTATTAAAAATGATGATAGAACCCTGCAGCAGATTGATTAGATGCACGAATCTCTATTTCTATATTTGGAGGGGATTAATTGAAGAATTTAGATGAAAAGAGTAATATTTGAACTTTTGTGCAAACCATTAGTAGGAAAAGAAAATGTTTGTACTTCAACAAATATGCATGTGTAAGTCTATCTTAAATCTTCGCATAAGTATGTAGAACTATTTTAGATCGGATGTATCACATCTTTAAAGTGCACATATCATGACAGGATAATGCATGCAAATACGTTGAGCTAGTATGATAAAGATAAAAATCCTTAGTTTCATATTTAGATAACTACTGAAACACACATATTTGAAGATATCTTTAAATCTTAAAATATGGTGGTCTCGTTATACAACAGTCTTGAGCTATCTTGTTGATCTTTACAGATTAAGTTCACACCTAGGACATGGGGATTGACCCACATGTTTTTTTTGTTAGGTGTTGAGATGTCATCACCTATGTTTTGGTTCAAGTTTCTACACAAAAATTTGTGTATTTTGTGTGATAACCTGAATGGTTTAATATGCACCCTTTTGCTTTAGATTTATTTGGTAGTTTTATTTGAAAAATCTTCATCTTTGTCTATTTATCACCCAAAAAATGACTCAACTAAGTAAAAAAGTAGGATTTTATAATCATTATGAATTTTATGTTCATGTACCTTAAAAGACTTGTATTGATAAAGATCTGGATCAAGATTCAAAGTTATGCAGATGGGTAAATATTTCACCAAGAGGATATTTGCGAAATGGTGGTTTTCACCATCAACCAATTGGGAGTAAAAACCTTTGGTGATGAAAAGTTACATGTTTTTATTTCTTGATGTCATCATTTTTCTTAAAATTCTTATCACAATTTAGTATTCTCAATTAATAATGGTAGGTTGAAGCAAGTGAAGAGTGCGGTCTTGGTTTTAGTTGAATACTAGGCAATGGAATTCCACTTTCCCCTTTAGTAAGACATTGTAACTTTTGTAACCATTCGAGCCATTTGTTAATTCAGTACTTGCATTACAATGCTCTTTGACATTATAATTCGAGCCATTTATAATTTTTTATTAAAACTTTATTATCATACAAGGACAATTAATCTTCTCTCTATATCAAGCTAAAAATATTGATGATGAATGTTTGTATTGATATCACCTAAACCAAACATACTTCTAACTGTATGATTGATTCTATTCATGAGAGAAATGACTTATAACTAGCCATAGATGTAGTTCAAACTAATGAAAAGCTCTATTATTTTATTTTATGCCAAATCACTTACTTGAAACTTTAGTCAAAACACTTTCAACATCTGAATTTATAGTCAAAGACCTATGTATTTCAAATATGTCAATAAAGTTCTTCTTTCCTATGATGGAGGCTAGAATGTTCTCATAAATAAGAAAATCTTACCTACGCATATACTATAACTTGAATGTTTTTCTGATATAATTTAGAAAAATTGTCATCATCCATTATTGGCTAAAGTATTAATGATAGATCAACTCAATTGCCTCATGAGTAAGTGTTTTATGGTTCAAAAAACTAATGACCAAAACAAGTCCAACTACATTGAATGAGGGGTATAACTAGTAAAGCATTGCTTCGAGTAAGCATTCCTCTTGAGTTGTAGGTGCATTTATAAAATTTAGATTAATTGTATAAGCTAATGCTAAAATTTAAATTTATTGACAATTTCAAAAAGTAACTTTATTGTAATTTATAAATTATAAAAAATAAGGATTATTCTGTATGGTTATTTATAAAATGAAGTTAAGTGTTGATTTGTTCTTTTGTATGTCAAATCCATGTGTACAGCTAGGTACCAAAGAATCTAATCTATACAATCTTATATAAGCCAGGTACATCTCTATTGAACAAGATGTTTTCTCTTTAGTTTCTTTCGAGAATTGGAACCCCCTCATTCGAGCATCATGGTAAGATTGTTTTGCCTAATTACCTAATACTCCTTCATACTCATGTTCCTCTATGTTTTACTCTTCATGTGAAAAGAAAGATTATTAAAATTCATTCAAATTATATCCCACATTACAAAAAAATCATTGTTTGCTCTAGGAGTTGATGTCTCTTATCAAGAGAAACATGCTCTGCACACATTTCCTATGCTTGAAGGGAACTTATCTTGCATTCAAATATTAATCATATAAGATGCAATTGGATGTCTTTGAGTATTAATCTTGTCTAAATTCTGTAAATCTCTAGTTAGCTTCTTATAGAATTGATATTTTGTGAGTATGCTCAAAATAATAAATGTACATCATTGTTCTAATTTTATGGATCTAATCATTAATGATTATGATTTATCACTTGTACGATAATCTGGACTTTACTCTTAGCTGTCAAAATGCAACATACTTCCATGAATAGAATGTCATTTAGTTAGAACTTTGAAAATATCTCGAATTAGACATTTGCCACCATCAAAGTATGGTCAATATTATCCTGAATACATGTAAATAAATTTGCTTCATATAAACTTTTTTTCAGGTTTAAAAAATTCCAACATGAACTATGCGACTGTCTTGACTATATGATTTACTCTGCCATTTAAAATAATGAGGATTAAATATTATAAATTTAAAAAAATTCAAAAGGCAGAAAGAAAATATCTAAGTTATGGATAACATTTGAATAAGGTTTTTTACTATTTAATTATGTCTAATCAGACATTTTACACCATCTTAATGTTGGCAAAACATCATGAATATGTTTAATTTGTTAACTTTAAAAAGTAGCAACCTGATCTATGTTATTTTATTCCCCATTAAATTACCTTAATGATTTAGTCTGTCATTTAAAAATATTGTGATTAAAGCTTCTAAATTGAATAAAAGTAAATGGTGGAAAGAAAATGTTTAAGTTCGTAGTATAACAACCAAGTGAGATACAAAACTTGGTCATTAATAAAACCATTCGATGCCATTTAGATGTCAATGACATTATTAACAAAGTATCAAGAGGCATATTAGATCCATTTCTGTATTTATTTTTCTAGGTCTCCAAGTTCCCTACAAGAAAATCTCTCTTTGAGTAATTTCCTACATATTTCTAAGATATTAAGATAAAGGAGTGGCAATCACTAAAGAAACAAATCTTATAAGATTTCATCACTGGTCTAATAAAGTGCAGTATAGGAAGAAAGGAAATC